GGCGGAGGCCCGGGGGCGCAGGCGCAGCAGCCGCACGAGCCGCCTTCGGGCCCTGCCAGGTGCGGCTCCGGGGAAGCCGGGCTCTTTTCCAATCCCCGGTGTATTCTTGGACTCCAAGGTTTTGGCAGGACCAAAAGACCTATCAAGTAATGGCACTAGATTAATTTTATTTTGGCCCTGATTTGAATAAATGAACAATAGAAAAATATTTCCTAAGGCAGGAGACATTTGAACACTGACTGGCTACTAAACAGTATCTTTTTTCTTAAGTGGAATAACGGTATTGGGGTCAGATTTTTTTCTTAAAGGAGTTTTTTTAGAGGTACATACTTAAATATCTGTGGATGAAATGGTGTGATGTCTGATATTTGCTCCCTAGAAGAAGTTAGCGCTACAGACAATCAAGAGAGTCAAAATACCAGTAATTGTTAAAGTCACTCATGGGTAATTATTCTGTTCTTGTGTACGATTGTAATTTTCTAAAGTTTTAAAAAAATATATATATATATTTTACGAGAGAGCAATATTGTGAGATCCAGTGCAAGTCCGCAGCAAGGCGCCCCGGAACAGTCAGCACCCCGGTTACGAGGGCCTGGCCTTCTCTTCTCTCCCACCCCTGAATCGCGGCTGTTCCGTGTGAAATCGCATGTAGAGCCCAGGTGGACCGGAGCTGCAGCTAACAGGCCACCCTGCCAGCCCGCCAGCGCTCCTTCCCCTCCCGCCTCCCTCTTCCCACCGGGTCTTTGCACACAACCAAGATGGTGGGTCAGGACGGTGAAACCAGTCATTTTCCCCCCCGGCGCATGCGCAGGCCCCGGGCTGCGCAGGCGCATTCCTGCCTCCCTCGCGACCTTGGCGCACCGCGCCTGCGCCGTGAGGAGCGGCTCACTGCCCCCTCGGCCCCGGCTGGCTGCGGTCTGCCTCTGAGCGCGGCTGAAGTGGCTGGCTCGGAAAAGATGAGGCTTTCGCTACTGCTCCTGGTGGCGGCGTCGGCGCTGGTCCGGAGCGATGCCTCGGCCAACCTGGGCGGCGTGCCTAGCAAGAGATTAAAGATGCAGTACGCCGCGGGGCCGCTGCTCAAGTTCCAGATTTGGTGAGTACGTGCGTCGCCCCGCAGCGCCTCCGCTCGGCGCCTCTCGCTACGCGAGTCCCCGGCTTCGCGGCCTAGCGGGCTGAACCTCCGCTGGCCGGGAAGAACGGCGCCCGCAGCCGCCCGCAGCCTGCCTTCTCGTAGCCCGTCCCGGAACGGCCGGGCCTGTCTTCTCTCCTCCAAGCATAACTGCCTATTTCTTTTTTGGTTCCTGTAATGGTGGGAATGCGGAAGGGGAAGGCATGAGAAGGCTAAATACTGAAAGGCGAGGATGTGGGGACACTTGTCAGTACCGAGGGCCGGTTGGCGGTGTCGCGCTATGGCTGCCCCCGCTGCCTGCGGCGCTGGGCGTGAGTCGGCGCGGCCTTGGCGGAGGCTTGCCCCGCGCGGGGGCCCGGGTCACTTTTCCTCTCCCGTTTCCCAGGGTTATGCCCGGCGGCCTCGCTGCCCCGCTGGGGGAAGGTTTATTCGGGTCCTGGGAGGGGAGCCGCGAGTGATGGACGCCGTTTTCCCCAGGACCTACCTGGCGGGGTGACTGTGGATTGAGGGCGTGGAGAGGCCTGGGGAGGCTGATTATCAGTTTGCAGTTTCCAGTGTGTCTGAAAAAGGAGTACGTTGCCCTTCTGACAGCCGTTCTCTCCGGGAAACCTGGATCTTCTCCCTTTCTTTCCCTACACCCGCCTCCCAGGAGTTGCCTTTCTACCTTTCATTTCACATTTCTCCTTCTGCATTCAGAGAAGTAGAAAAAAAAATCCTGGCAGTTTTCGACATTGTACTTTTAAGTCATTTTGTTGTTACCTAGTTTAATATTAGAAGCAGAGCGGTAATGTGTCTACAGCAAAACGACGGCCCTCGATGAACCAGGAAGCTGGCCCTCGTCAGACAGTGAATCTGCCTGCACCTTGATCTTGGCCTTGAAATTTCTGTTGTTATAAGTCAAAAAAAGAAAAATGCTCCCTGTACTGTTTACTATGTGCACGACATATATCATATTTCCTATAATACTGCAAATGGGAGTTATGGCTTGACCATTCTGATTTTTTTCCCCATATATATATATTTTTTATTAGGAACTGGCAGTCATATTAGCAACCTATAAATATTGTAATGTTGTTAAGGCTTAAATGTGATACTTTTGGATTTAAGTAGTTTAAAAAAGGCTGCAGTTTTGATGTAGTTTTTCTGTTTTTTACTTTTGTATCTCACAGTTTCATTTGCACTTTTCACAGAATACTCTTTTATAGTGGCTTGTATCAGACTAATTGTCACAGAAACAAGTGTACCTCCACTAAGGATAGTCATAACAAAGTATTTAAAATGTGTAAAGCAAATGTAGGGAGAGCATTCAGTCCTTCAAATTAAACTTTTAAAAAAACTGAAGTACTTCAGTTGAACTTTTGATACTTAGTTTTTGTTTCTTTTCTTGCTTTAAGAATAAACTTGTCCCAAAAGTCTAATAAGTTTTCTTTTGCAGTCACCCTGAGCATGTTATGTGCAAAAGTGCTTTAGGTTGTTTGTTTGTTTGTTCTGTAGATGAGAAATAACTTTATTAATAGCCCTACCAAATGTAGGTAAATTTAGCTTGTTTGTTACTTTTCCCCCCCAGAGATTAATATGTATATAGAAGATGATTATTGGATTTCTGGTAGACTCTCTTAGACTTTGGTAGAATCTCTTAGACATTCATTTGCAAGATTGAGAAAGGAGAGGAGGCTAAGACAATTGAGGGTAAATATGAAAATTCTTTTAATTCTGTTTGAAATCTGAGTGTGGTAAAATGCAGTCATTCATTAATCACCTCTGTTAGCAGAAGACAGAACTATTTTTACCTATTTTCAGTTGCTTTTTCCCTTTATTTTATATTTCTTGTGAGTACTCTAACTTTAGCTCAATAGATCATTTGTTAATTGTACCACATTTGTTGTTGCTAATAGAACAAAAGAGCAACACAACACACAAATGGAAGTGAAGAGAGAAAGATCAAGCATGCAAAATAGCCTAAAACAAACTTTCCTATTCTACGGTCATGTATTTTTTTCAATAATATTCATTCAATACTGGCTTGTGCCAAGGACTAAAGATACTATGGTGAACAAGACAGATATGGTTCCTCATGAAGCCTACTAAAATGGCACAGCATTACTCACATACCTGAGCATTTGGTTTATTATGTCAATTGATTAAGCAATCCAGTTGGGTAAGTTTGATGACACTGATTTCATATTTGGGGAAAAAAGTTATTCTACTTATTTGGATGTTTAAACATTGAACATAAAAAAGGAAATTCTCTAATCTGAACTTAAAGTTTCTTTTTCACGTTTTCCTTTCTTGTGATTTTTATGTGTAAATGGATTCTGACAGGTACTTTTGGCATGATGTTTGTATGCATGCTTTAATTTCCCCTTATATGTTACTTAACATGTAACCAGATCTATTGTATTAATTAGTTGTTGCAGTTTAAATTGTACAATTAATACTTATTTGAACATAGGATGATTGATTTACTAAGCATAGTAGATAAAATAGTTAAAATTTCAAAACATAAGCAGAATATAGCAGAACTTTCCAATTTTTGTTAATTTAAGAAACCACTGCTATATTTTTAGGACAACCAAATTATAAGTGGAGTTTCTTTAGTATAATTTTTATTTTTAAAAAAATTTATTGATCTTTAGGGTAATGGAGAGCGAGATATATCAATTTGTTTTTCCACTTATTTATGCATTCATTAGTTGCTTCTTCTATGTGTCCTGACTAGAGATCGAACCCTCAACCTCAGTCGTATCCAGACGATGCTCTAACCAACTGAGTTATTGGACCAGGGCCTATAAGTGGAGATTTAAGAAGTAAATGAAGTTGCTACTACAAGAACAGTTTATTTAAATTTATACAAACTCAGCCTTTGATTTCATGGTATGGAGGCAGAAAATAAAGACCTGAGACTGGCCCTGGCAGGTATGGCTCAGTTGGAGTGTGGTCCAGTACACCAGAAGGTGGTAGGTTCGATTCCCAATTGGGGCACCTGCAGGATGCAACTGATTGATGTCTCTCTCTCATATAAATGTTTCTTTCACTCTCTCCTTTCCTCTCTGTAAAATCAAGTAAAAAATAAATAAAATAAAGTGAGAAAAATAAGACCTGACACTAATTTGGATGTTGACACTGATCAAGATAGTAAAATGCTGAGTGTTGAAGAAATCTGAGAAATTGTGAGTTGTAGAGATCATGTTAGTTACTTAGATTTAATAGTTGCATATTCAACAAATATTTGAGCATCGGCTTTGTGCAGGCACTTTGCTTGGTGCTGAGAATTCAGTTCAGTGCTGTCACAGATGTAACAGGCAAAAGTGGAAAGCAGTCATTAATCTGTGGACAAAACATATAAATTACAGTTCTGTTAAGTGCTGTGAAGGAAAGTTATATGGTATGGGAGAGGCCTAGTTAAGGAATTGGGGAAAGTTTCCATGAAGAAATGAACTTTGAACTGATATTTGAAGGATACAATTTATTTAGAGCTTTCAAGTAATGGGAAGAACATGTTCAGTGGCCTTGTAAGTGGGAAAGAACATAATTTTATTTTCATTTATTGATTTTAAGAGTGGGGGAGGGGGTGAGAGAGAGAGAGGAACATCGATTTATTGTTCCACTTATTTATACATTCCTTGGTTGCTGCTTGTATGTGCCCTGACTGGAGATCGAACCCACAACCTTGGTGTATCCCGACGATTCTCTAACTAAATGAGAACTACCTGGCCAGGGCCAAGAACATAATTTCTTAAGGAGGCCAAGGCTACTGACCAAAGGAAAGTGACATGGGCCCTGGATGGTCTGGCAGGCCATGTTAAGGAAAGATCAACTAGGATCTCTGTGGAAAAGACATTAGAGGGGACAAAAATAGATGTCGGGAAAGCTTTAAGGGGAACTGTTGGGAATTGCCCAGGCAAGAGATGTTGGAGCTTAGAATAGAAAGGTGGTGGCAGTAGAAGTAGAGAGTAAAGGGACAGATCTTTAGGAGATAAATTAAGTTCTAGGTGATGGATTACATATTTGGGGGGGAGAGAAGTATCAGAGATGACTCCTGAGTTCTGGAACAATGCTGTGCCAGTCACTGGAATGGTAAGACAGATTTTATGGATTTGGGGCAGGGGAGAGGGGGAGGAATCCTGCATTTTTAAGACTAAAAACACTGTAGCCAGGGGAAAATCATGCAAAGTAATTTTCATTTCCTCCAGATAGCCACAGTTTTTAAACTAAAAACTTTAACAGTTACTGTTTTTCACCAAACCTAAGAATATTATGGATTGTAAAATACACCATTATTTTATATACCACTCAGAAGAAAAAAAAATACTGCCATTTAAACTGTGACACACTAATGATTGTAAGATCAGTCCTGATTTTTTTAAAAAGATGCTAAATAAAGGGAAAGTACTTTTTGGAATCGGTGAAATAGAGGAGTAATAAATAAGTTGATCCAAATAGTAGAGTGATAGAGTGTTAATAGAGAACAAATAAAATGGTGGCTACTACAACTACCACTGCGTTAGATTTTTAAAGTTCTGTAATGTTTGCGTGGAATTTAATCACCATTTTGTTTTGTTTTACCATTTTAAGCAACAAATAACTGCAGTATATAACAGTACTGTGTACATAATAGTTGTTTTTACTTAATAATGAAGATTTTAGTTCAAAGCTGTTTAGATGTAGGAAAAATATGAATGATTTTAAAAGTTTTAATCTCTTACAAAAAATTGAAACATTGTTTCTTTGCAGTTTGCCATTACAGTAAGTGGTAGAATTCAAATTGAATATATCATTTAGAAATACGAAGATAACCTCATAAATTTTGAATTTGGAGAGTTAATGGAAAATGCGTATTTACTGGACTAGCAGTTTGGCGGCCCAGGTTTTTATTTGATCTGTCTCATATTTTGAATGACTTTGGGGGAAATACTTTAATGTCTTTAGCTTTTACCTTGTTCATCTGTAAAATGAGGATGTTA